CGCGGACTGGGTCCGGGTGGGCGCCTTGGCCTCCTGCCGGGGCTCTTTAGGTTTAGGGTTTAGGGTTTAGGGTTTCGGGTTTAGGGTTTAGGGTTTGGGGTTTCGGGTTTAGGGTTTAGGGGTTGAAGGGTTTAGGGTTTAGGGTTTAGGGTAGGTAAAGGGAGTAGGTGGATCAAGGAATCAGAGTATATTATAGTTATACCTGTAGTGGGTTTGAGACTTTGGGGTTTTTTCAGGCTTTTCGGATTGGCCGGGTTTTCGGAATGTGGGCTTTAAGTTTCAGGTCTCTGAGCGTCGTGGTCTAAGCTTTGGGTTTAGGGCTTGGGGCATGGAAGGTTTTGTTAACCAGAAGTGGTCAACGGCTACAAGGTACTGGGCCAACAAGCGACAACACATGAAATGACTCCCCCAAGGCCCCGGAACTGGTCTAGTTGGGATGCAGACAGCATTATGTTAAGCTTATAAGAAGGCCTTTCCTGACGTACTGACCGCGAAAGTGTGGACGGGTGCTGGCTTTGCACATGTAGCCCTTGAAGATTCCTCATGGGAAGCTGGGAGTTGGCATCTCTGTACATGAGGCCCCCCTGAATTGAACGCGAGAGTTCCTGCGAACTAACAATTTCTGAGGTCAGCCCTCAAAACCTTAAACCCCAAATGCCCGAAACCCTCAAAACCGTTCCAAAACATCAGTTCTGAAGGAGCGATGACTTCCAGGAGCCCCTCATGGCTCGGGCGATCCAAAGGGAAAAGCTCCTCCAACGACAGCATGGCCAGAGAGGCCCGGCGGTGGACATGCTATCGAGTGGGAGTTTAGGCTTTGGGCTTGAGGGTTTGGGGCTTAGGGCTATGTATGGCTGACACCTTTAAGTGCTCGGTCCGGATTGTCCGGAAAACCATCCTAAACTTCAACCTTCAGTGCTGAAATCATAGTCATTCGCAGCTCACCCTTTGATTGAAACTTTCGTCTGATGCCATGTAGCCATAAAGAAACTAAAACCTAAGCTGAAACCTCTGCAAGCCTTCAAATTTCTGCGGCACCGAATATCCGGTTTCGGCTGCTAAAGAGCAATCACAAGCCTTGGAAGTTGCTTGGAAGCTGCCGCAGATGATGAGACTTCGCGAGTCACAGAAGCTCAACACCTTTTACGCGCTTCGCAGCTGTACAGAAGCGGCTCTTTCGCCCTCTGCTTCCTCTACAGCTTCGCTGTCATCTGGGGTTTGCAGCAGCGCAACTGCAATGCGCGCGCTTGCATCATCCTTCTACATAACCGCCGGAATCCAAACCGTACAGCAAAACCCCAAATCAACAGCTCCGGAACCCAGAGACGGTCTCAGCCTTCGCCAAACAGCCCCCAGTCCGTGATGCGGAAGGAGCGCAAGAGCATCCTGAACACGTCCTCTGGCCAGCGGTCGTAAAGAAGTTCCGCAGCTTCTAGCGCATCACCCCCTCCGACTATTAGACATCCAACACACAGCTGGCTACCGACTGAGCTGTATTGTTTACTTGGCTTCCGTTACGCCATGTTACATTGCTGCATGCGCTTCTGAAGTTGCATCACAGTACGCTACATAGTGCTGCTTTACATTGCATGCGAGGACAGTCTTGTCAAGGTGCAGATGGCAGTGCATGACAGGTCGATAGATAGATGGATAGATAGAGAGACAGATAGACAGCTAGACAGATAGACAGATAGACAGGTAGATGGAGGGATGGATTGATAGACAGATGGATGGATGAATGAATGGATGGATGGAAAGATATATAGATTCATGGATAGATAGATAAGACAGATGGGCAGATAGATACAAACGGACAGACAGGCAAATAGATAGGTAGGTGGACAACTAGACAGATAGATAGACAGACAGACGGATAGATCGAGAAGATAGACAGATTCAGATACTCTGTCTATAGTACTTGGGGGTGCGCGGCCAACATGACTGGATGTCTGGATGTCTGCTTGGCACCAAGGGGCAGGGGTGGCGGCCAGAATGCTCAACCGAAGCATGCGAAAACACACCCCATCTGCCAAAACATGAACGGATACGGTCATGCAGTCTAGCTAAAATCATATGTCGAGACTATGCGTATTAATCGACTTCGGTTGCTTTGTCTTGGTGGCTGGAAAGATTTCCATGCATGCTTCACTCTAAGAACTTAAAAGTTCTGGCAGAGTCTGACCCCTGACCAAAAGCCTCATCCCACCCCTGAAACCCTTGCACCCGAAAGCCGAAACCCCCCGAACCCCGTTTACTCCCCAAACCTAAACCCAAAACCCCAAACCCTAAACCCTAAACATCATAAACCCTAAACCCAAACCCAAAACCCTATACCCTAAACCCTAAAACTTCCTAAACCCTAAACCTGAACCCAAAACCCCAAACCCTAAACCCTAAACTTCCTAAACCCTAAACCCCCAAACCCTAAACGCTAAACCCTTAACCCTTAACTTCCTAAACCCTAAACCTAAACCCTAAACCTACACCCTAAACCCTAAACTTCCTAATCCCTAAACCTAAACCCAAAACCCTAAACCCTAAACCCTAAACCCTAAAACTAAACCCAAAACCCCAATCCCTAGACCCTTAACTTCCTAAACCCTAAACCTAAACCCAAGGCCCTA